CTGGCTGGAGCTGGACCCCCCTCCTTTCTTTCTTTTTAGGGTTGTTTTCGTTTTGCTACCTTGAAGTTTCCATTTTCTTTAAATTTTATTTTAGGAGGATGAAGTTTTGAAATTGCCCAAAAGATCCTTTGTAAGAGCATCTCCAACCCAACGTCAAAACCCCTAATTGATGCAAAAACTTCGCCATTTCTTCCCCTAACCGAACGCCAAAACCCGCGCTATTTTAAAGCGATGCTACAGTGTTGCGCCATTTCTGGCGCAACACTGTAGGAATGACGCAACATAAACTTCAACGCATCGGCGGTTGGTGCGGAGGAGGGAGAAGAGGTTGGGGTCGCGGTCGATGAAGGGAAGGGGGTCGGAGAGGACGGAGGCGGGCCCAGCTAGGGCAAGGGTTTGCCGTGTGGTATGAAAGATCTGGCCGCCGACGTTGAGGGTGACGACGTTGGCATTGGATCTCTTCGAGGGGGCGACGGAGGAGCGTGCGATCGAGCTCAAGAACAGTGACATCGCTAGGAAAAGATTGGATTTTTGTTTTTTTATCCTTTCCCAAATTCGGTTCCTCCTCTCTTCGATTTCTGATGGATTCTGGAGTAATTCCCTAATAAATCCTTCATCCGAACAAAGAAAGAGGAGTTTTTAAATAACTTTTTAAATATTTTAAATAGATAAAAATGTTAAAAGATAAGAATAATAAGATGAATATTCTTTTTAGTGTAAAATTTGGTGTAATGGGTTGGAGATGAAATAGTAATTTGGTGTAAAAACTACACCAACTTGATGTAAAATCTACATCATTTTGAGTTTTTGGGTTGGAGATGCTCAAAAGAGGTAGTTAACGCTAAGTTTTACAGTTAAGTTAAGTTGTGAAAGGGCATTTGCCGCATTTCTATCTTTTTAATAACCACTTAAATAGAAGAGATGAAGAAGAGGATTGCAAATGTTATTTCCCCCCCAGAACGAGGGTAAAAATGTCCAAAAACATCGCATGGTAGTCGCGTGGTCCAATTCTAACTGAATTTCTAACGCTCAACTGCCAGAAGATTCTAAAATGTGAAGCGAGTGGAAGTTTAGGATCTTAAATTGAACAAAATTTACTCTTTTTTTAGTATTTTCTTGTGCTCAAGTGAAATTGGGGTTCCTGTGATCCGCACTGAGATTAGTGATGAGATTAATAATTTTAAAAAAGGTCCGCCTTGTCTTTAAAAAAATATTGCACAATTGCACTATTCCTTCTCAAACGCTCTGTATCTTGCATTTTGCATCTGAACCTTTCAAACTGTGAAGAATATTTGCATTTATAAGCCAAACACTAAAAATTATTTGTTTGGTACTAAATGAACTATTGAATCAAACTTGATCGAATATCTGAACGAATAATAAAAAAGCAAATAGCACCCCTATATTTCATATCTAAAGTAGAATACTTTATTTTGATAACATGTTCAATATTTGTAGAAAATTTTTTAGAAACCGTGCTTTGCACGGGTCTAAATGTTAGTCCCTTCTGAAACGCTCTGTATCTTGCATTTTGCATCTGAACCTTTCGAACTGTGAAGAATATTTGCCATTTATGTGACATGAAGTAAGAGGATCAGGTGAGTTTATTCACTTTTGGCCTTATCCCAAAGGTTTGAGTGTGGATTGAGGTAGGAATTAGATTTTCAGTGTTGAAATTTTTTCCAGATGTGGAACTTAAAGTTTTTTTATCTGTAGCTGGATATACAAAGCTTAAGCAGACAAACTTCTCTTCCACTAGTCTCAAAACTTTTTTGTGTCATCGACACAAAAGCAATGACCATGTATTTCTAAAGCAAGGTTCTTGCATATGTAATCTGTTAGTATGAGATGAATATAAAGCAATGCTTCTCTTTAAAGTTCTTTGTCGCTACATTAAATTTCGGACGTTATGACGAGGATTGAGGGTTATAATTACAGTTAAGAATTATTCTACACATTGATATATACACATTTTAAATAAGCGTCCGATGAGATTTGAATTTGAATTATTCTGATAATGAAAAAGAAACCCCCTCGAAGTTGTGAATATTGGAGTTATGAACATATCCAGTTTGGCTCCCTTTTCTAGGCTTGAAAACAAGTTATAAACAGAACAAAAAATTGCTGACAGACTAGGGATTGACTATGTAATGGTCTCCTCTCCAAGCTTATTGAAAACTGGGAAATTCTTCATGTGAAACCAAAAGTTTGAGCTACTGGCAAAGGTCCATTAATCAGAAAATATATTGTACAATGTAATAAGTCATAAATAAGGATGTGGTCCATTCTGAGTACTTGTATGTTTACTGCAATGCGCAGAACAAAGTGATATTCTAGTTAAGGTGAGAATTTATCATGGTAGGTGGAAAGTTCAATAGATGATGTTAGTACCAAAATATATATTATACATAGATGCAATGTTTAGATACTCTGACACCGATCAAAGAAGGCCAAAAACAACCAAATATCAATGCACAAACCCAAACACCAATTTTAACGTGGTTCGGCAATTGCCTACGTCCACGGGGCAAGAAGGGGGTGGGTTTTCACTAATAGAGAAGGAGAGTACAAATTGAGATTACAAATCGCTCAAACGAACCAACTAATCTCACCAACAAATCTCTCAACCTCTCAACCAATAACCCTAACCAATAGCTCAGAAAGATCTCTCTTTTCTGTGCTCCAAAAACCCCAAATATGGTCCTACAAAACCCTCAAATCGTATTGGTATTTATACCAAAACAGAAACCCAAACAGACTGCAAATAGGAACCTGAACTTTCCAAAAAACCTGTCGTAAGTAGACTTATCAGTCTGCATAAGTCGACTTGGCAGAGCGAAAAACGACAACTGGAGAAGAGTTCATAAGTCGACTTAACAGGTCTGATAAGTCGACTTGCCAGAGCCCAAAATCAACAATCCACAGCAGATCGTAAGTCGACTTATGACACAACATAAGTCGACTTACCATAAGTCGACTTATGCCTGTGCATGAGTCGACTTATGACCAAAAATCTGCTTTTTCCAAGTTCTTCTCCACAATTCTTCACCTCGGCGAAGTTTTCCCAAAACTGAGCCGACACCAACCAAACAAATGCCTCATATGTTGAGACCCAAATGGGAGTGCGAACACTCACCCCAAATGTCGATGTCGCTCACCAAATCGGCTGCATCAGAAAACTGACTGCCTACGTATCATCTTCAAGGAATCAAGCATTCTCGTAGTTCACCCAAACGGCCTCCAAAGGCCCTCAAACAAATAGAAAAGTATGCAACTCTTCCTCAATATCGCCGACGGATCTGCAACTGACGGCCCCAAACTGATACAAATCAAACACCTCCATATGAGGTGAACCAATGGCCGTATCCAAATCATGTCCACCAGCTGCAACCGAATCCAAAACCAATCCATCATCTGCATCCGAAATCAAATGATCCCCAACCCGTGTCACCTTAGCTGGAATCCCAAATGACGCAGTATGATCTGGAGTACGTGGAGTAATCTTCACCCAACGTGGAGTAGCATCACTCTCCACCTGCTGCGATATCCAAACGACCTGATCAACACTCTCCACCTGCCGAGAGTCAAAAGTGACATACCTGCTCAGAACAAAATCAGAAGCTCCCAAACGATAATCAACTGAGCCTCCGAACCCCAAACGCGTAATCAGATCAAATCTCACATCCTCAATGTGACCAAATGCTGGGTATCCAAATATCCGACGCAACCCAAAATCTGAAGCAGCTCCACCAGATCTAATAACTCCTAATGCAGCAGTCGGCGACCTGTGACTAAGATGACCCAAATATGTCGAAGCTCCAGAACCAATGCTCGACAACCAACGCCGATCCTCCTCCAGAAAGGAACGACCCATCGAAACTGTCATCTCATCTCGTCGCCCCAAAGTCTCCACACCAATGAAGTGTCTCCTATTGCAGTGAGCTCGTCACAAACGCAAGAAAGGACCCCTAGCAAATCTAGAACAACGAG